GATTGTTTGTATTCGCAAACATCGTCATATCCTCAGAAAATCCTAGCCATCTTACTCAGTTAGCTCCCAAAATCGTTTCCTGTCAAGAATAGTTCGTTATTGCAGCACGCGTGTTATATGCACATGCTATTGCTCATTTCACATCTGTGAACTCGCACTTAGTCAGTAAATAATTTCGTAAAATTAGAGGAACTTAATCAAGCTGAATATCGAGTTAGCTGTCTGTCAGCTTCTGCGAAATTGCAACTTTAGACATGTTTATACGCTTGGCGTAGGCGTACTTTTGAGCTGAATTTAGGGTCGTTAGCTCACATAAGGGCTCAGAATATTCCTGAGAAATTTCGGCTCTCTTATCTTTTCTAGTTCCGAGAATTCTCTTCCTGCTAAAAAATTAACAGGATTATTTTACGGGACTGTAGGTGCGACCCAGACGTGCGTGAGCGATGATTTTGAAAACGGAGTATCCCACACGGAATGGGAAAATGCTCAAAAAATTTCAGTTTCTTGGCTTCATCGGTTGCCGAGTTGAAAGTGGGTAACAGAAGTGTGGAGATATGTAAACTCACACAACGACAAGCTCTCGTCAAAAAGCGTTTTCGCATTTGCATAAACTGTGCAAAAACGTACAAAAAGCTACTCGCAGAGAACCGTTTTTATCCTCAGTACTACTGCTCCTCCAATCTCTTAATTTGCTAAACTCTTCCGAACTGCAGTCACGCTGTGTTGCATTTAACTTGATCAGCAGCACATACTTTTTTGAAAGAACTAACAAAGCTTGAACTTTACAGTTGTAAGAACTGTATTTACTTTTCACCGAACTGTATTCAAGCCTCTTTAGCAAAATTATTCAGAAAATATGCTAAAAGCATTGTATTTGACACGGGGCCACCTACTTGTGGTCTGTCTCTATCGCATTCCGTCCTCAGCTGCACTTCTTCCTCTGAATGCAGGGCTGCTCGTGGCAGGTGGTTCCCAAACTAGTATGCTTAAGAGCTAATGATTGGAGGTAATTTTATGTTACCTGTTCATTGCCATATTCGCCTTCATGGCCGAAAACATGTTCGAACTGTACACCGTGCGGGAAAATATGAGCTAATGCTTTCAGTTCCTCATAATCTTCGTAGAATCGTCCACTGTGGCGATTGGATCGCATAGCATCTACTAGTGATAAAAAATCTGTACGCAGTATAACTTTCTCGCCTCTGAAGTGTGTAAACAATTGTTAGTTTTTTTGCCCAGTACCGTAGACAGTGTTTTTCAAGTCACCTTCTTCATCAAGAACAGTTTTCAGAAAAATTTTATAAAACCAGTCTTTCTTTTCATATCATTTCATGCATACTAATCTCATTCTGAACAAATTTTCCCTCCAGAAAAAAGGATAAGATTATGCAGTAATGATGAAGTCACCAACGTTTTTGCAACATTAAGCAACAATTGTATTAGCTTAAGGCAAATCGAGTCCGCGTTACCTTTTATGAACC